TTAAAAACTGTAAAAAGGGATCTCTTTCACCAGTTTCTTAACTGTTAATTGATTTTAACATTACATTGTATTTATATCTTTCACTTTTAATACTCTGATTTAGCTTCTAATTAGTTGCCTATTCACTAGAGTAGAAGGCTGGGGTTTAGATCAAATAAAACAAATAAGGAAAATGCCATTCCCCCCCCCCCCAAAAAAAAGAGGTGTAAGACTGGCAATTTTTGAAAGTTCCTATTTTTCTTTGCTTCTCTAATTGTAAAATTCCTTTTTAAAAAAGAAAAGAAAAACCATCACTAGGGAGGAGTTAATGTGAAATCTTACAAAGATAATCATATCTGCAGTCAGAAACAAAGTTTGTTCTCTGAAAGTACATGGATACAAAGGAAGACAGGAAGCTGCCTTTGTTTATTTTATATATTATATTTACATACTGCCTGGCCTTGACTCCCCAAACACCCTGCTTTATAGCAAATAAGACTAATAATCAATGTATCTGGTAGTGTTGATAATTATTTGCTATGAATTCTGCAAGTGTTTTTTTCCAGATCTACTTGGAGATGCCAGGGAACGTACCAAGTTGTGAATACAAAGTTTGTTTTTTACAAACCAACTATGTATTTTAGGGGACTCACACATAAACACATATCCAAATGATAAGATGCTATAATATTTTGATTATGGGTCCTCTTCTGACCAAGGAGGAAATTAAAGGCAAAGACATCTCCTATCCCTATTGCTTTTCTTTAATACTTATTCATAATGTCTTTTCCTGCTAGATTATTTCTATTTTTTTTTTTTGACAAGGTCTACTTTTTCCCTCTTCTGAGCCTAAACAATCTCATTGTGGAATCAGGTTTTTTGTTGTTGTTGACAGGCAGTATTTGATATCCACTATGTTGTCATATCCGTCTCACTGTACCATAGAAAACTACATTCGTTTTAAAGTATACAGCAATCAAGGAAAAGGAAAGGAAGAAACTAGAAAAAAATAGTATAATCTGCTGAATACCTCTTGCAAGAAAACCCTCAACCTTGGCTAACTTCTACAATTTCTCTGAAACAAATAGGTTTAAACCACTATTTTAATCAAACCCTAACCATCATTATCAACCTTAACCCTAACCCTAACCATCATATATTTGTGTTCCCAAAAGTTAACTTTCAGGTGATTTTTCTAAATTAAGCTGTTTTATGGAACTGGTTCAAATTTACAACGTTTTGAACAGAGTATGTCAGGTGAATAGAATGTTATTACACAAATAGAAAATGAAAGTATGGCAGGGAGGACTGGCCATTGCAAATTCGACATAGGTATAGGTTTGGTTGAGTGAGTCTACCCTAGTGCAGTGTGGTCTACTCATAATTTTTTAGGATTTCCAAGGATATTTTCTCAAACCTACTGGAGCTAAAAAGAGATGTATCAGGGAGCATTTCTACATAAAACATATGGTCCACCTGTGAGCTATACCTTTTTCGAATACTTTATGAACCAATATGTATTCTGTTGAAAAGATATAGACCTGGAGAGGGAAAAGCAAGCAAATATTCTCTGAATTGGGAAGCAGAGATGTAAGATGTTTCACTTCATTGTGCAATTAGATGGTCATCAGAATATGTTCACCCTAACTGTAATCTGGTGTCTATATTTGCAGAGGGCTGGAATGAAGGATTGTGCTATCTGAAATTCGTTAAGAGTCTTCTCATCAAACTCATATAAATATAGTATTCGATCTCATAAGCACCTTTCCAGCTACAAAAGTGCATTTTCACTACATTAATATATGTCCCTTGGTGCAATAAACAAATGGTTAGAACGTTAAACTGAACCAATTTTATGATAGTGTAAACATAGCAGACACTTACTCATGGCCTAAAAGCTGAAACAGACTTTCTGAGAAGAAGTGACCTTGACTTGTTGAATCAAAACTTTATTATCTTTATCTCAGCAATACTTGAATCTAGTTTTTATTCCCCTGAAAAAGACAGCTTATACAAACAAAATCTTTCTCTGGAGTGTTTAGTATTTTGACCATCTGTGGGTGATACATCCACAAAGAAAAACTTTGTTAACAAAAAACAAAAAAAAATCTTGCTAACATAAAAAAGGATAAAATTCCAAAACTGGGATTATAAGTACTGAAACCATTAGAAGTCTTTCCCCCCCCCCCCCCCCCCCCCCAAAAAACCTCTTCTTTGATCTGTGAATGGTGTCTGATGTCCAAAAAATATCACATGGAATTTATTTTTTCTGTGCCATAAACTCAGAAATTCTGTATTTAGTAAATGTAGAGGCCACCCATCTTTTGACACTGGACCACTCACAATTACGAAAATAAAATAAAATAATAAAATAAAATAACAATATCATTTAGACTCATATACCACTCTGTGGGGCTTTACAGCCCTTTCTCTAAGCAGTTTACAGAGTCAGTCTATTGCCCCCAACAATCTGGGTCCTCATTTTACCCACCTTGGAAGGATGGAAGGCTGAGTCAACCTTGAGCCCTGTCAGGATTGAACTCCTGGCTATGGGCAGAGCTAGCTTGCAATACCACATTCTAATCACTGAGCCACCAAGGCTCTAAAATAAAACAAAATAAATAAATAAAATAAATCCTAAATAAAATAAAAATAATTACACTTAAAAAATAAGAGCAATAACATAAAAATAACAGTTGAGAAGACCCATAACCACTCAAAAGAAGCTATGTCACAGGCTTACTCATGCTATCTTGGTCTCGGGATTAATAGCAAAGCCAGGTTTTTAGTGCCTTGTTTTCACAGGGCAGAGTTAGGGCAAATCTAATTTTTGAGGGGATAATGTTCCAGAGGGCAGGTGCCATGGTAGAAGGGATTGTCCTCCTGGGTCGTGACAGATGACATTCTCTTGCAGATGGGACCTGGCACATGCCTCTCCTGCCACATCTAATAGGATGGGTAGGCATCATTTAATTAAATTCACATGCTTAATTTTTTTTTGGCATACCTGAATTTGCTTGTTAGTGTTTGCCAAAATCTTTTTATCCTAGATTTGAGTGCTGTGCACTGGTTAACAGGGGAAAAAAAAGTAAATTGAAAAATCCCTTCTCAAACACGCCAGCTATTAAGGTTTATTATAGATCACAGTATTTCTCTTTAAGTTTCAACTCTGAGTAACAATTTTAAATTTTTCAAATTAAAATAAATTGTTAAAAGCATTTGGAACTAATTGTTAAGATTTTTGCCACTTTAGACCACAACTTCTTTATTTTCCCCTTGAACAGATCTTTCAGATCCTTTAACCTGTCCCATTTTATACTTTCAAACTAGTTTTGAGTTCCCTGTTAGGTTTCTTTGGCTGCTCAAATCTGAGCTTTGTGCAGTATCTGAGTTATTTCTTCTTTTAATAAGGCCCTTAATTTTATTTATTTTGGTTTTTATTGGTGGCATGCTGGTTTCACTACTTTATTTTCAAATATCATTCTCAGTTTCTTCCTGGATTAATTATTCTTGTTTCTACTTGTCTAATTGTGTGTGTGTGTGTGTGTGTGTGTATGTGTGTGTGTCTGTTGGACAATTACATTTGACTACCTTCACATTTCACTTAAATTTACAAGAGTCTATTCTTCTTCACTAATCTGTACTGTGGATAAAGTAGATACGAGGTTTCTTTCATTTTTACATCACTCTACTATATGGTTAGAAACCTAAAAGGAGTTGTATTTAACAAGGTAGGCTGGAGGAAGTTTAGATGCAGCTGAAATCTGTCAATCAATAATAGTAAAAATCAAACATTGTCTAGTTTTACTTGCTGCAATTTGGTTGTATAGGAACTTTTCCTGTCAGTTTACTGTTTTCTAATAAATTGTAGTAAGAGTTATATTGTTCTTAATGGTACATTAAGAGCCGAGATGGCACAGTGGTTAGGGTGCAGCACTGCAGGCTACTTCAGCTGACTGCTAGCTGCAGTTCGGCAGTCCAAATATCACTGGCTCAAGATTGACTCAGCCTTCCATCCTTCTGAGGTCAGTAAAATGAGGACCCAGATTGTTGGGGGCAATATGCTGACTCTGTAAACCGCTTAGAGAGGGCTGTAAAAGTACTATGAAGCGGTATATAAGTCTAAGTGCTATTGCTATTGCTACATACTGCAATCTTTAAAAGACTTGTGATGCACATTTGCATTTTCTCTGTAAATAATATAATAACAGAGTTGGAAGGGACCTTGGAGGTCTTCTAGTCCAAACCCCTGCTTAGGCAGGAAACCCTACACCACTTCAGACAAATGGTTATCCAACATCTTCTTAAAAACTTCCAGTGTTGGAGCATTCACAACTTCTGGAGGCAAGTTGTTCCACTAATTAATTGTTCTAACTGTCAGGAAATTTCTCCTTAGTTCTAAGTTGCTTCTCTCCTTGATTAGTTTCCACCCATTGCTTCTTGTCCTACCCTCAGGTGCTTTGGAGAATAGCTTCTCTCCCCCTTGTTTGTGGCAGCCCCTGAGATATTGGAACATTGCTATCATGTCTCCTCTAATCCTTCTTTTCATTAAACTAGACATACCCAGTTCCTGCAACCATTCTTCATATGTTTTAGCCTCCAGTCCCCTAATCATCTTTGTTGCTCTTCTCTGCACTCTTTCTAGAGTCTCCACATCCTTTTTACATTGTGGCGACCAAAACTGAATGCTTTGTTGGATGCTTTGTTAAATGAATTGTTGGATGTCTTATTATATACCTATGTGTATTATTCATTCTTTTATACTTCTCATCCCTGAAATTTAATTTTTTACATTGTTTTTTATTGAAGCATATCCTACCTTAAAACAGGGTTTATACTCTTTTTCTGTTCTGAATGTTTGTGCATTGATCTAAACATATAAAATCCCATCACAAATGTGGAACTCATTTAAAACATAAAAGATTGAGATATTTGGACAAATAGTCAGGAGTTAAATCATACTGAGTTCAGTGGGCCTTCTTTCCAAATTGAGATTGACAATATAGCAGTCTTAAATTTTCAGTTAAAACTATAGTTCATAATTATGTTTTATTTTTTGTTCATATCTTATCCCAACTGCTCACTTTGATTGAAAGAAAATTAGTGAATTGTAATATTTGTAAATGCAAAACTATATAAAAATATCTATGTAAAGATAGATAGATAGATAGATAGATCACAAACTAAACCCAACAATACCTGGAACATCAGTGAAGGCTTCTCCAAGGACAGAGACATGAAAATTCAGTTCCATCTTTTTCAATTTCATCAGCACTTTAAAGAAGCTTTCAGGATCTTTATCATGTTCCCTTGAAATGAAATAGAACACACCTTGAATTTTGAATTGTTTACTTACTTTATTTTCATATTCATAATTCATATGCTGTCTCCATCCAAACCTTGATATGGCCCACAACATAAATAAGACAATTATAAAATAACTGCATTATAAAAATTGGTTAAAAATCTTACCAGACTTCATATAGTAGTAAACCAACCTTGAAAATGGACAGTGCCTGGACAGCTGTTAAGGGTTGGTACCTTGTGCCTGAAGCTCCATGGAACAGAATACTCTAACAGATGGCAGACATCTTTTTGGTTTAGAGTGGAAGGCAATTCACTAAACCTTTTATGTATTTCCATAACAGGTTCAGAATCACTCCAAATAAGTAGTTTTGGAGTCTCCTCTGGAAATGCTTATGTTCCAAATTAAAACCATAATTCCAGATACAAACTGGATTGGAACCATTCATGTCTGTAAGTCAGATAATCAGGCAGCCCATCTTTCAATGTCAAAGTGCTTTTAGGAGTAATGTCAAGTTTTAAACCCGAGCAAAATGGACATTTTTCTGTTGTTCATTGTCCAGCTAAGAATACATTACAGACTTTGTATAACATTGTAAATACATAATATTATGGAGAATACAAAAAAGGTATAAAAATTGTATGCCAAAAAAATTAAAAGTAATGAAATGAGGTCCACAAGTTTTAAAGTTGCCAAGTTTGGAGACCCCTGTTCTAACATTTAAAAAGTGATTTTATTATTGAAAGTTAGAGTAATTTTTAACTTGTATGGATGAAAAAGTGCTTATTTACAAAAAAAGCATATAGAAAATAAATTATGCAATAAGAATTTGGACAGTTAGAGTCCAATCCTAGCCATGCCTATTTTCAAGTAAGTCCTGTGAATTTCAGAAATAAACTGGAAGTAAGCATATATAAAACTACTGCCTTTTAGTGGTCATGGGAAAGTAACAATTTCCCAATTCACGTTTTCCACTGGATGATGTCTCCTAAGATATATCATGATACAAAATAATTTTATACACAACTGACACGTGTGTAACCCTCTGAAGGCACAGAGCGTGTTAAAGAGTTATAAATAAGCTAAGCTAAAAGCAATATTAAAAAGGTCAATCTTAATCTTCTTAAAACATTTAACAACGGAGCTTTCTCTTATTTCAGTTATACAGGGGACTCAGAATGGAGAGAGAAGAGGAAAAAGAACATTTTAATACTGCTTTATGAATGTGCAATGAGAGAGAAACTCACTTTTCCCCCAAGGATCAGAAAATAAAGCAGCCAAACCTCACTTTCAGATATGTGCTTACGATTAAAACAAGACAACATTTAGAAAATCTATCACCACACTAATAGTGGCTGAGAATGGAATGGGATGGGATGGGATGGGGTGGGGTGGGGTGGGGTGGAGTGGAGTGGAGTGGAGTGGAGTGGAGTGGAGTGGAGTGGAATGGAATGGAATGGAATAGAATAGAATAGGTCTTTATTGGCCAAGTGTGATTGGACACACAAGGAATTTGTGTCCGATACATAAGCTCCTAGTGTACGTGCCAAACAACAAAGTAATAATAACATTATAATAAAGGATAATAATCATAATAATGATATCACTAATAATAATAATGGTGCCTGAGCTTTTCATTTCTTACATAGTTTCTTGCTTCCCCAGATTACCAAAGAATAAAAACTAAAGAAAGACACTTCTGCTTCATATCTTAAAGTTAAATATCAACTTATATAATTTGTGGATGGTCTGAATAGAAGCAAATACATTTGCACTATATATTGAGCATGTATACTCTATAATTTAAAGCCCAAAATAGGATGGGATGGGCAGCTACATAAATTAGACATATAAATAGTCTCTTACTTTGACCAAGGCATGGGGCTGGAAAGGTTTGGTCAGAATGGCTCCTTTCCTAATGACTGTGGGGTGGGTGGGGGGTGGGGGAGGATTTGGTTAATGAAGGCAACTGGGAGTGACAGAATTGTTATTGCTAAGTGCTGCTATCACTTGACATCCTACTTTACAACCACATTGCTTAGCCCAGGGCTACCTGTAATGTCTTGGCCTGAATGACTACATTAAGACAAGCCAAGAACTTCTGATGAAGGAAGTCAATCAAGGAAAGCACTTGAAAACCACAAAGGTAAAGGCTAAATACAGGAAAGAAAAAAAATTGAAAATCAATTTGTAATTGGAAGAACAAGCCAATGCATGTTCAAAGAGCTTTTGTTTCCAAGGTTTACATGCACACACACACACACACAAATACAAGTGGTACAGGGGACTAGAGGTGAAGACGCTCGTCTCACCCTTGGGAGATTGAGAATTCAATCTTAGGCAGTGACAGATGTTTCTCTATCGGGGTGCAAAGAAAAAAAATCTGCTGCAAACTCTGTGTGGGCATCAGGAAGCCTATTCTCCAAAGCACCTGAAGGCAGAACAAGAAGCAATGGACGGAAACTAATCAAGGAAATAACCAATCTAGAAATAAGGAGAAATTTCCTGACAGTGAGGATAATTAATCAGTGAAACAGCTTGGTTGTGGGTGCTCCATCACTGGAGGTTTTAAAGAAAAGTTTGGACAACCATTTGTCTGAAATGGTACATGGTTTCCTGCTTGAGCAGGGGGCTGGATTTGAAGATCTCCAAGGTTCCTTCCAACTCTGTTATTCTATTAACATTTGAAGAATATAGATGGAAAATAAGATTAAAAAACCAGCACCGTCTTCAGTAAGGTCAGGAGAGTTAAAAAAAAGAAACCGAAGGCTTTACTTTAGAAGCTCAAGAACAAGCCAACTAATTGCATGAAGGTGAAAATTCAGCTTCTAATAAACAATTGCAAATTCTGCCTTGTAGTGAAAAGAATGAAGCAATTGACCATTTCATCAGCAAAAGTTCATAAACTGACCTCAAGCAGTGTCATGATTAAGCTGCCAGAATTATTAATTGGAAACTTTGCCAGAACTTTGGATTTGAATGCAGTAAAAAGTACTGGGACCATCAAGTTGAAAGTTTTTAGAAAATGGGCGGGTTTAAATTTTTTGGGACTTAAATTATGAAATATTGGGACTTGCAGATCAAGTTAGAACTGAAGAAGCTTCTTGATAAGAAATGCAACATTTTTTTTAAAAAAAAACAAGAAAGTCTTTTGGAAAAAACACCTTTGGGATAATCTGATGTTGAATGCTTATGGAAAAAAAATATGATATCGCAGCAATATCAGATCATGTAGCAATCATGACTGGGGCTCTTGGAGCAATACTAAAGGACTCCCTTAATATCTGGAAATACTGAATTTACCAGACCTCACAACCCTAATATTACAAAAAACCCACCCTGCTTGGAATTGCCTATATTATTAGATACTACCTTAGTAATTTTTAGGCTTTTGGTTAGGGCTTGAATTATTAAGTTTCCACCACTCCTAGATTGTGAATCTAACCATAGATTACCCCAGACATAATAATTTATTAAATTTTGTTTGTTTGCTGCCCAATTCTTAAAGACTCTGGGTGATTTACAACAATCAAAGACTTTATAATAAAAATCAATAAAAGGTAAAACCTGTAAAGCAATGCAAAAAGTGACTGCTATTTATGGACCAGGATTGGTGATGTCCAAGAATAGATGTTTTAATCAGTAACTGAGCTTGGTTACTGCAATTCTGTGCAGTATGTTTTCAAGTAAGTTTCAAATGTAGTTAAGTATGAATACAGGTGGCTTTTGTTATATGCAAGGGTTTTGTTCCAGCCCAACAACTGCCAACTAATGAAACCACAGATAACAAGATCTTGGGGGAAAAAACATACTTCATGCATACTTGAACTCCTACTTACCATTTTGTGCCTTGAATAAAATACTTACAGAACATCCCCTATGTTTTCCTTGAAACAGAACTGTGCACCCAAAAAATGCAGATGCACATAACCCTTACTGCAGAAAATGAGGCCAGTATCTACCAATGGTGTGAGACTACAGGTAACAGAACCACAGATAATAAAAGCCACCGGTTTTATTAGATTAAATCTTCTTTTCTACACTGATGCACTCTCAACAGTTTTCTGTTTATCAGTGCTAGACTATTTTCAATTCTCTGCAGTCCTTTAGTTTATTTTGGCCTTCCTCAAAATGGAGACAGTACAGAGATATGGATGTTGGGGAAGGTGGCTGGAAAATAATTAGTTTACATTGGTTTAGAGATGACCAGAAAAAGGTCAAATTCTTTTACTACACTCAGAAAAAGTCTATGGAGATTCTCAGTCATCCAGGTCTTGGTTGTCCCAAAGGTACTTTTTCAAGAGGCAATTTAAGTTTCTTTGTTTTTCCTTAAAGATGTTTCATTTATCATCCAAGAAGCTTCTCCAGTTCTGAGAAGCGAAATGTTTTCAAGGAAAAACAAAGAAACTCCAGTTGCCTCTTGAAAAAGACCTTTGGGACATTCAGGAAAAAGCTTTAAACATAAAATCTTCCCATGAATATTCCTGAGGTCAGCAGAATTTGCATCATAATACAGAAACTAGAGCCAGACACACTGTTGTGATCATACTAAATATATACAAATTAAGGAAGAAGAATTTGAGGAAAGAGTACCTCATCTCAAGTCTGGGTTTCTCTTAGTATAAGGCTTTAAAATATTAGATCTTACCTTACTCAGGATAATAAAGAAATACTTTTTCAGATTAGATAGGAACTCTTATTGTTTATTCTGATTGATGAGTCTTATGATATTGGCTGTGTCTGCTAATTACTAATTTGATTTTAGTAATGGTTTTAAAGTGCTACATTGATAGATCATTTTCATAAGCAGTCCACTGAGGTGCTCGAGCTCCAACTCATAAAGAGATGTTGCTGATCAGTTAAATTGGTGGTACATCGGCAGAATCCATTCCTTGTCCCTGAATTCTAGCCTCAGGAACAGGTGCTCATATCCAATCAACTGTAGAAGAACATTTCTGGTAATAGCCAAATTCACAAGGAAGATCCTCACCATGCACCCTCCCC